ATATTTAGTCCTGTATATAATGTAATTATATATCGTTAAGCAAATGTAAATAAAATTCAGTTAGAAGTACAATATTACTATATTTTAAAACAGCACTTGTATGTTTTATTCATAAAAAATGAATGTCTTATTTGGTTTTTTTTTACATGGTATATATAGCCATGTATAAGTCTATGCATATACTCGTAGTATTTATTTAAGAAACCAATTAGTCAGTCTGCTCAAATATATAGTTCTTAGTTATACAAAATTCTAATTACGTTATCGAATTATTCAAAACTTAAACGACACTCCTCGGCGAGGTTACGCTAGTTCAGATGGCTCTACTGGTATGTCTGGCGGTTGTATCGACGAGACTTGCTGGGGAGATTAAACTTTGTTTTAGATAGTAAATCTGCCTTTCGGTAACTAAAAAATAACATCAAATTAGCGATCTCGTGCCATTTAAGGAGCGTCAATATACTGATATTCTTTTTTAATTACAGAGTTTATATATATCGTTTCTGTGGTAAATTTTTTCTAGCCTTATAACAATTCTACATTAATAGAATATATGTTTGGTAAAGGGAATTTAATAAAAAAATCATCCTAGATATACACTTTCATAAAAGCTATTTAAAAAAAAATACTCTTTGGTTTTTGGTTGATGTCTTTGAGTTCGTTGTTATTGTTATAGTTACGTTTTGTAGTAGTCTCTCGTTGCGTTGTCTCGAGTCGTTCAATTTTGAACAAGGTTTTGTCGGAAGTAAACAGCATTTTCTTTTTTTTTCACGCGTTTCTGCGCTGACATGTAGGCGAGGCGCAATGAAATCTACGTATTCCTCTGGGATCTGAAAGTCTTCGGGTATGAACTGTATTTCATGTGTTACTGACTTTGTTTTAATAACCGTTAAAGAATTATGAAGTAAAAATGAAAAAAAAAAAACAAACTTAATGCATCCCACGGGAACCTTGCCAATTTCAAAGATCAAAAGTAGCTTATGTGTTATTCGTGAGTATCCTCTTAATCTATACTAAACTTAATGAGATTTATTAGGTAGGAAGTAAGATATGCAGGCATGTAACACACAGCATGCACGCCCCACGCCGCACGCCGCACGCCGCACGCCGCACGCAGCCACGGCCTCGCTGCGCTACTACAGCAACACTTGTCACCACTTCTACTGGACAAGACGATATGCGGCTTCTATCTTTAGTTTGTCATCGATTACACTAATAATAAATATTATTCTTCATACTTCAACATATCTTTGAAGTGTCGAATTTGGAGGAAAATATTGCGGTGCACGGATCAACCTCGCTCTCGAATGGTCTATTTAGGATATATTAATGTTTTAATATATCTTCCCGTTATAATACGCTGTAGAATAATAATCACCTATCTTTATAATCCTAATATCTGTAGAATTAATTAAAAATAATCCGGTAATTACAAAGAATTGTGGATTAATCTTTATCATAACTCTGACGTACAACTGGGAGCACACATGTGTAGCAAAAGGAGATTAATTTGAAAGATAAGATAAATAACAACAAAACTTTAATTATTTTGAGAAGTATTGTGTTAGTTTGCGATTCATAGAAAAGTTACAGCTATTCAGGATAATCAAATATTACTTGCTTACGATATCCGCCTATTTTACAATATGCCACTATAATTTATTATTAAATTTTGCTGCTTTTTATTGCTACCATGGTTTAATGTCAATAAGAAACACAATTACACATTACTAACATTATTTTATTAACAAAATCTAGGCAAGGTATCGCTGAAGGGCTCACAGGCGCGCCTGGATCCAGGGCGTGAAGGAAGTAACGCGCGCGTAGCCGCCCGGGAAGCCCACGCGGCAGCCCATCGCCGAGTGGAACGACACCACGCCGATCTGCAACACGAGCCCACGCCGTCACACACTCACCCGCGTAATGCTGATCGATTTAGACAATCTCTTTTGCTGCATACTGCCACAGTCCATTTTCTTAAATAGTGGAGGACTCTTGGCATTACCGAGACCTACTCGATATGTATTTCTTCCTTGCAAACGAGCTTGCTTTGATATGTAGAGCCTGTCCCACCACAGGCTGATACAGGCTCATATAGATTAAAAATGACGTCACTGTTAGATATTTCTATCACATATTTTACACCTTGGATTGTTATCAGACAATTTACAAATCCGGTGCGACAGGCCCTTAATATGCTAAGTTATCGGAACATAATCTCTATTGTCCATTTCAAATGTATACATTTAAAACATTTAAAATATATAAATTACCCATTTTTTTTTATTTTATTTCATTAAATACTAAGAGTATATTGGACGCACCAAAACGCGCTGTCCGCTGAAGTTGAGCGCCAGCGGGCCGCCGGAGTCACCGCCGCAAGGGCCCACGTTGCCTTGCCCGCTGGTGCACAGGGTGGACGCGATCACGTTGAAGCCGTACGCCTGCGCGCACGCCTCGTTGCGGATCACCTCAAGGTTTCGTCGGCGCGCCACCTGCCCAGTCGTGATGTTCTCCGCTGCGAACACACATACAACCACACAATGCAGTAAAACGCACAAGAGTTCTAAATTCGATTTTGAGTGATTCGGATGAATAAAATTAAAGTTCATTGTAGCGGTTCAAACTTACAGTCGTTTGTAACGCCGTAGCCGATCACCTGCGCCATGTAGCCGGCGAAGTTTAGCATCTGCATCATCTGGTTCGGGAGGTTGATGGCTCTAATGTTATCTTAAAACAAATTTTTATATATTATATATAGCCTAGTTTACAGTTCAAATACGGTTCATGGACGGCTGAGTCCAGCGCAACGCCTTCAGACCAAAGTGCGGTGAGACGAGTTGTGTACCGGCCATTCATTAAACTCTGTTGGACAAGCACTCACTGTTGTAATTGACGTGCGGGATGACGACGACGGCGATGTCGTTGTTGAGGTTGTTGACGTTGTAATTCTGGTGCATGTTGACGTTGGATGTGGTGAGGCGAGTGCCGCCACTGAACAGACG